GTCTTCACAGTCGACCTCTGAGCGTCGGTCACAGTTTAGAGGCCTGGAAAGCAGTCCAGTCGCTATTTGGCAAAGCAACGCCTTGTTCTCCCTGTACATCTTTTTTTTTCAGCTTTAATTGAGTTTATTGGTACATTTTAGGGATGCAGTACTGTTACATTCATTGTTGGGATCTTGTACCTCTGCATGACAAGTCTTGGTTCTCAATTTTTCCCCTTGTCCCTGCCCTCCCTTCACCCCCTCTTCCCCTCCCCATCTACAACCACTTTATTTCCATCTTTTCTTTATCTCACATTTTTTTTCTTTTCCCTTATTACCCTTCCCCTACCCATCCCACCTTCCCTATACCTTTAGCCCCTGTACATCTTGCTCAAAAACCATGTGATGCAAAACAAGGCAATTAGCTCAGGAACAGGTGTGAGTAGCTGGAGAATTAAAATTCTACTGCTAAGGAGGAAATAGACTTCCATGGAATCTTCCTTTCCATAAACAACTTTGCAGGTAAACAATGAGGCAGGATTTTGCTGGCCAGGAAGGAATTTTACCAACCAGTAAAAAATTTAGCTGACCACTAAAAATTCTTATGGAACCATCTTTAAAAAATACTCCAAAGTACAAAAGGTGTAATCTTAGTCTTGATTAAAAATTTATCAGAAGTACATTTATTTAAATGAAAGCAATAACATATAAAGCTTTAAAAATGAAGGGCAGAAGGTAGGAAAACACTTTGTTTGTTTTGTTTTGTTTTTTTTGAGACAGGGTCTCACTGTGTAGTTGGGACTGACCTAGAACTCATTATGTAGTCCAAGCTGGTCTCGAACTCACAGAGATCCTCCTGCCTCAGCTCCCAAGTGCTGCGATTACAGGTGTGTGCCACAATGCCTGGCAGGAAAACACTTTGCATTTTATTTCTGTGGAAGGTGCCTTGCTGGGCACCCATGTCTCTCCCAGTCACATTCGGCCACTTAGGTACAATGGTTTCGACTCCCAGGCCAAGCCCTGGGCAGGGCAGCAGTGTGTGGAGAGTATAAGGTTGCCCCCGGAGTAGGGTGCATAGGTAAGTTTTCTTGGCACACAGGGCAAGAGGGTTTAGGGCACAGCATGACCCAGGGGTTTGCTATCACTTTCACACCGGATGTCATCTCTTAGTCTCTGTTACTTGAGTACTGAACAAAGAATGAAGGAAAAACATCAATACTTGGTCGTTTCCATAACGCAAGTCTTTCAGCAGACAGGGTCACAGTGCTGCATCTCAGAAGGGAGGCCTAATGCTCACTCTGTGCAGTCGGTTATCTGGTGGCTCTGCACTCTCGGACCCCTCTAACACTAGGAGCGGGAGAGGCTGAAAGCGCTGAAGAACCCGGAAAGGGAGAGGTGGGAGCCAAACAGTGGAGCAGGAATTTGCTCCTGCTCCGTCCTCCAACTGGAAAGCCACTTGTCCGAGGTGCGAAACTACTGAAAAACAACATCTATCACCACAGTACAGACCTGGCTGCCTCATTTTGAATAATACGGCCCCCCAAATGACAGCTGAGAGACATTCTTCATTTTTTATAAGCTTCAGTGAAGCCTTAAAAAGCTTCACTGTATCCTTGCAAATTAACTCACATATGGAAGAACAGTCTGAGAAATAAGGCCAGCAGCAGAGGGAGACAAGACAGGAGACTTATTTCTCTCAGGAATTTTTAAATTTTTATTTATTTTATTTTTGAGACAGGGTATCACTGCATAGCCCAGGCTGGCTTTGAACTCACAGCGATCCTCCTGTCAAGGGAAATTATTTATCCCCAGTTATAATCTGTATTTCTTGGCATAGAAAAGCTAGCATGATAGGTACGCCAGCTTCTTAAATAACACAGAATGTAAGCTGTGGCGTTGACTTACGCCGGGTGCTTTATTAGGGTCGTTTGTGCCTGAGTCCATTAATTTTGGCCGTCCCAGACACTTGTTTGCGAGGAGGACCTAATCAAGCTGGAGAGAATTCTGTGACTGGGATTGTCTCTTAGGAGTAGGGCTGGCTTTGGCAGTGGCAGCCTGTGCAGTCACAGGGGATTGTGCTCAGACAGTACTTCTGGGAGGGCTCCATTGTGCACCGCCTGAACAGCTGATCTCACCTGTAGCACCTGCAGCCATCAAGCTAAAGCCTGGATGGGGGAAAACAGGCTGGCTTAGAACTCACAGTGATCCGCCTGCCTCAGCCTCCCAAGTGCTGGGATTACCAAGGGGATTATTTGCTTCTAGGGTGGAAGTTAAATTACATAAGTGAAAGGAGGAAGTGGGCAGTAAATAAGGGTTGTTTTGAAAGGTCTGCTTTGCTGATGAAAGTCAGAGTTGTGTCTGGGATAGCTCTCCTGCTGAGAAGGGGACACCTTTATAAAAGGGAATCTATGTCCTACTCCTAGTCAGAAAGGAAGACAGCTTTCAGCTCAAAGCAATCCTGATGCCAAAGTGGCACACTCTGGTCTCAGTCACACTTTTAGTCTCCAGTTTTCCCAGAGGGCAGAACTGATACTGTGTGGCCTTGAGTCCACACTGTAACTCACTGTGTCAGATGGTGGTCACCCAAACCCCAGCAGACTCTCCCAGGACATTCCGGGGCCCCAAAGTCACTTTCCAGCAGCAAAGGCAAAGGCAGGTATCTCCAGGTAAGGTTAATTCTTCCCTCTACAAGGATGATGACCTCTGCCCACTTTTATCACTCAAATTCAGTCATAACGCCAGTAGTGGACAATGTTATTTCGTTTGATCCTGTGCTGGGGTCAACTCATTCTGGTTCACAACACTGATTTGCTAAATTCTTTGGTTAAGCAAAGCCACTATATAAACTAACAATTACATAAATTAGATTAACATGAAAATAACAAGCTAATCACTTACTGCTTTCATGTTAATCTAATTTATTAATATGTTCTGGATCGTATTTACTCCACCTGTATCCAGCTGGTAAAAATACCATAAAACTATGCATCCCTCCTTCTCCGTGTAGGTCACCTTGGTAGCATGGGGTCAACTATGGTGAGAATGTTGACACATAGCACAAGCTATGAATCAGGAATTCTTTTGTATTCTTTCACATAGAGAAGGATCTTTCTGCTGATCGAGCCTGTTACCAGTTGCTATGAGAGTACTTTGTAGGTTATGGCAACATTGGGTTAAATGGTAAATTAATTTGATATATAAAGTACATCTAGAGCTAATGAACCTGATGGGTAATTTTTCTTAAAAAATTAACTCTTCATACAAATCTATTTGTACACGTCTGAATTTAATTTAAAATGCAAATTTATACAATGGCATTTTAGTGCTTCCTCTGACATTTCATGTAAATTGTGGAGGTTGTATAAGAAACTAAAAGTAGATACTTTGATTTATATGTATTTACATGTAAAATAACATATGCAATTAAAATTCCATTCATGTGAAAATAGTGTCCTTTTCTGTTTGCATAACAATGTTAAAATTTAATTTCTAAGACTACAGATATTTACTTTGTAATGTTGCAGTACTCATCAAGAGATTCAAAACTCCTTGGAGAATTCTAGCAAGTTATTTTTATTGATGGGGTTCAGGACATATTATGCCCAAACACAGCCTTTTGAATACTGAGTATTTTTTAGCTGAAGGAATTCAAGAAATGGGAGCTGTGAAAAGGACTTTCTGACTTTCCTCTGAAATAAATCATAAGGCCAGTGTTAGTAAGATTTCCGTTACTATAATAAAAACCTGAGATAATCGATGGTAAAGAGGAAAGATGTTCTTTGGCTTGTGGTTTTCAGGGGTCCAGCCCATGACCAGTGGATACTACTGTTTGGGGCCGTGGTGAGGGAGCACATCATGGTGGGTGCACCAGGAAGAGGAGGGAAGGCAAGGGTGAAGAAAGGGAAGAGGAAGGTGGGGGAGAAGGAAGAGGGCAAAACTGTGCACCTCAGGGGCAGGAAGCCAAAGAGAGGGAGAGGCAGAGGCCTGGTCCCATGTCCCTCCGAAGGCCAATCCAGGGACCTTAACCCTCCCATGAGGCCCTATACCCTAATGCTCTATCACCTCCCAGTAGTGCTACTCTGAAGAACAACTTTTCACATTTATTTGGGGGACACCAGATCCAAAGTAGCAACCAGCATGAAGTGGGGCCCTCCCTATATCCGGAAGAAAGGAGCATTGTAATCTCCAAAGATGGTGGACACCAGAAGGGATCTGAATGAGCAGGCTTTGTGAAGTTCCCCAAGTTCACCATTCCTAGTTCATCCCCTTTTGGTCTTGTCCCATGTTCATGACTTGCTACTCTCCATCAAGTCATGTATGAAAACAATCAAGGCAATTGTGTTTTTGGGTCTTCATTTCCTTAGGAAGTTTTTTATGTCTTGTAAAATTATTTTATATATATATATATTTGTCTCAATCTATCTTTTGTTACACAGACCTAGCCAAGAAGCACAAAGGGTAGGAGAAAAAAGTAAAATTCCTCTCTGCAATCTGCTTTATTGCAAGGTACATGTTATGGCTTGTATCTAAATGTCCCCCCCAAAGCCTCATGTGATCACAGGTGGGGCTTTTCAGATATGGCTGGTTTAAGGATGTGTGATAATGGAACTGGTTTAGCATAGTTCTGGGTGTGAATAATGGAAGCCCCACCCAGGGTGTGGATAGCACTGACCATAGGCTTGTAGCCCAGATGGGGAAAGGTGGAAGGTGTGTTGCTGCTACTGCTGCTTCCTGCCTCCCCTGCCGTGGACTGTTTCTCCTCTGTGATGCCCTGCTGCCATGCTGCCCTGCCTTAGAGACAGTAGACTGTGAATCGAAACCTCTACAAACTATGAGTTATAATAAACCTTTCCTCCCTTAACTTTGAGTGTTGAGCATTTTGTCCTAGCAAGAAGAAAAGTAAGAAAAGTAACTGAGACAGTACCTGTATGTGCTTCTATCTTGTAGTAATATGCTCACAGAGTTGATTGCCTGAGTGACAGAAAAATGCAAGCTCACACATAAATTTTAGTGGTCTTTACCTCTGCTTCTGTGTCGATGTACTGACGTGGGCTTCAGGGACAGAAGAGGAAGCCAGTTTGCCCTCCTGTAGAGCCTGTCTTTCCTCTGGGACTGCGGCTACCACTTTAGCTCCCGTCATCACTGTGTCTTTGTCCAGCACAGCTGCTTGTTGTACTCTGCACCCACAGGCAGTGGCATGACTTAAATTTTCTTGATTTTTTTTTTCACTTTTCTGCAAGACCAAGTAATACTTAAATAACCAAAAACATTTTAATATAAATTATATTATCAATCACTTTGCTTGATTCCTGCTTTTGTAATATTTTATTTGATTTTCTATATAGGATCTATCTGAACAGAGTGTGTGATTGGCTGAAAAAGGCACAGTGGAAAATGTTAAATAAAATAATAAATAATAATAAAAAAAATGACTCAGTGGTTCTTGTTAAAGCATAGTAAGTCCAACTTCATCGAGGACCAACATGACTAGAATAGTTCCTGCTGTGGAAAAAGGAAGTAGGCTCAATTCTGAACTCAACATGGATGAGTAGGAATTTACAGCTACAGAGCAGGGGTGGGGTGGGGGGTGTTCATGAATGAAATATTACTGAACATTAGGGCTAGGAATGGTTGCATATGCCTCTAATCCCAGCTACTCAGGAGGGGCAGGCGGAGCTCAAGCTCAAGTTTAGACTAGCTAACTTAGCAAGATTCTGTCTTAAAATGAAAAAATGAAAAAGGTGGGGAATATAGCTCAGTGCTCCTTAGGTTCAAACTAAAGGAAGGAAAGATGGATGGAAGGAAGGAAGTAAGACAAGTCAGGGGTAGGAGAATAAACTGACCTAACAGAATTCTTGCTGTGACAGGCCAGGATGGTCAACATCACTGGAGGGAAATGGAAGATGAGCTACTACTGAGGGTGAGGGTGGAGGGTTATTACCAACCTGACCTAGCAGGATTCCTTGCTAAAACTGGATTTGACGAGAAAGTGTTCCTTTTTTTCAAGGGCCTAAAAAAAGGTTAAGAGGCCTGACCGAAGTTGGGCTAAGCAAAGAATTTTTGCCTGATGTTATTTGAAAATGGTTTTATTAAGATACTTTATTAAGATGCTTGCCCTTGATTTACTTTTACTTCTGTCCTCCTCTCTATCAGGAACGGGGTCCATTAATTTGCACAAGTGACTTAATCTGTATGAGCCTCAGAGAGACTCTTCTGTAGTAATTTCTCCTTTAAATTGCTCTGAATGGACAAAAGGTGTCTTAGAAGGTAGTATTCCCCTAATTACCAATCCTTTAAAAACAATCAGAGTCTAAGGAACAAGAATTAAATCTCATTTCCTTCCGGGCCCCTTTATTAGCCAAGATGAGTGTTTTGCATCTTAAAAGATAAGCAGCGGGCTTGATAGGCTGCTGTATCAGCCCTTCCACAGTTTTCCTTAATACAGAGAAGCATTGAATCAGGAAGCGAGGGGGTGGCAAAGGAACTGTCTAATTTGAAAAGTAATGAGGAAATTTGAGGTATCTCACAACAGATGCTTCTTGTCTCCCAAAGGAGTTGCCTCTAACCAAAGCAGTGTACACTGTGGACATCGTAAGTTGAAACATAATGAACACACCTAGCATCATAACTCAGCAACACTCACTCAGCTGCCCACCCTTGTGCAGTTGAGAGGCTGATCGCTACGTTAAGAACATGGAGTGTGTACTGCTTTCTCACCAAGGTAATGTTGAAGAATTATAAGTGGAACCGCCCTAAATCCTGGACCTTCTTCATTCTGAGTTTGTCTCCAATTCATCACCTGAAGTAAATGAAACGGAGATGCCACTGGACCCACTGGAGGCTGACACAGCGCTGTGCTCAGAAACCCACCTCCCTTATGGGGTGGGGGTGAGCTCTTTCTTTCCTGTGTCTCTGGGGTCTCAGCTGTCAGTCCTTCTTACGGTCCTGGACAGCGCTGAGCCTGCTCTCAACTAGGGAAGAACACGACTCAGAGGAGAAGGGGTGGGCAGGGCTGTGCCTTTTAGTAAGGTGACAGAAGGGTGACTTGAGGGAGGGGATAGTTTGCTGTCTATAAATATCTATTAAGAGTTGGGCAAAGTGACACATCCCTGTAATCCCAGCTATTGGGAAGGCTGAGGCAGGAGAATGCAAGTTTGAGACAAGCCTGGGCCTTGTCTCAAAGCAAACAAATACAAAGGACAGAGTGTCACTCAGTGGAGAGTGCTTGCCTAGCATGCTCCAGGGCAAATCCTGGGTTCAGTTCCAGCCTCTTGAAAAGTCTATTATCAGAGTCACCCTTTTGGGTTAAGATTCTTGTCTGGAAACCTATTAATTATCGGTAATTGATGCATTAGCCTATCCATGATAGCGTGTTACACCCAGCACAATCTGGGCGGGACAGTTACACTGGTTTGTATGGTGGTAACAGGCACACAAGCACACACAAACACGTACACTCTCCTGGCAGTTGTGGTCATCCAATAATCCTGCTTAGCACATTGTAGCAAAAATTATATCCTTAATATATTTTAATTATGTGACAAGAAAAAGCTGTAGTATGCTGTGTGAGAGATTTAGGTATGTGTATGGTCTGGATATTAAATTTTTTTTTTTTTTTTTTGGTTTTTTGAGACAGAGTCTCACTATGTAGTTCAGACTGCTCTGGAACTCACTATGTAGCCCAAGCTGGTCTCGAACTCGCAGCAATCCCCCTGCCTCAGCCTCCCGAGTGCTGGGATTACAGGCATGCGCCACCACACCCGGCTCTGGATATTAAAATTTAACAAGCATCAAAAGGCTTGAAAAAAATATAAAAACCATCAGATGTTCAGGATTCCCAGTTTCAGTTGTCATTTACTTTCATTTTTATAAAGAACAAAACAAAACAAAACAGAAAAATGAAAGTGAAAAGGGTGAAATATATCTCGCTTTGGAAAACGCTTGTATTAATTAGCTTTCAGCCGCTCTGATATGTCCTATTAAAACAACAACAAAAACCGCCCGAAACCCAAAAAACTGGCTGTTGTCTTCACCCAACAATTTTTGCTTTATATTTCATTGAAACCAATCGGCTTAAGAATTTTGATAGGCTAGGAATAAAATGTTTTTAAACTCCCAGCTAATCTCATTAAGGAAGCAAGGGATATTTACCAGGGCCCTGAGTGAAAGTTAATGATTTTTGTGTTCTGGAGAAATGCTGGTGATCACCAGCCTGGGATACATAATGTAATTCACTCACATAATACAAGGAAGTTTAGCAGCCCTTGCCAAAGGCCTTAGCGGAGGTTTCTGCTTTTGTTTGGAGGGGTTATGTTCTCAAATTCGGGCTGACTGAGCAGGAGCTGTTCAAAAGCCCAAGGCACCAGGGACTAATAATCGGATCCAAGAGATCCGCCTAGCTAAGAGGAGAAAGTCATTTGCCGGGCACCTCCCGGGTTGTCTAGGAGTTAAGTAAGCGAGGAGAAATGTTCCCAAGCCCAGTCTGGTCCCTACCCACCCCGGCCAGGCCCAGTAGGGCAGCCGCGTCCTCCCCTCCCCAGCGTCCGGCCCGAGCCCGCACCTGTGGTACCAGGCAGGGGGCGGGTGCAGGGCTCCAGGGGAGCAGG